ATATATATATATGTAAAAAGGAGAAAGAAACGCGTGAAAAAATGTTCCATATGGCTGCAAATTTTAACGATGAGAACGTAGCACAAAGAGAGGGACTATGCTGGTCTAGAGTACCATCTCTAAGGTACCTATATCAAATTCGCAAATTGGATGGGACTGTAATCATGCAAGAAGCTGCGATTTCCACCTAATCACTAAATCCAATCGTTCTTCACTTTCCAAGGCTACCTAGTGGCACTAAGAGGGGTGTGTGTCAAATGGATGGAATAGCATCATCCCGGGCAAAGGAGTCATGATTAGAGAACTTTATATTGCCCATCACATTTATTAGCCAAAACTGTCAATTTATTTTCACTTAGTTTGTTTAAGTTTTCTCCAACTTCATTAATTTTACCAAATTGACAATAAGGTCTTCGAAGTACCTAATCGCAACACGCAATTTGTGTTGTCACTTTAAAGACTATTTATTAAATCCAAGAAGAGTGCTAAAAAAGATTAATCCACTTAATTTTTTATTGGTTGAGAATTGCTGACCTTCAGCAGACCATCTATAAATTGAGTTTATTCGAAGTCGAAAAAGTATTGGCGTTCGGTGAGAATGTCAGAGTGTACCTTGTTGGATTTTCTCGCAACCGGTACATTCGGAGGAGGTATGGTAGCAGCATCTATTGCAATTTTTCTAGGCCCACACGGAATCTCTTATAAACGCCGGAATAATAAGTCTGGGCTTTTTCGCACTATTAAGCAGCTCAGACTTCCAAAGTCTGATCCAGAATCCTGTTTCACAGCACTCAAAGAACTTGAAAGTATCAAACATTTGTGTCATCCAAATATTGTGGCGTAAGTGCCAACCACAGATAACTTGTTTAGTTTGCAGGAAATTATTTACGAACATAACGCAATATTTCTTATACGTGATTACCTACATTTGAGTCTTAGACATTACATTGATATTTGTGATAAGGGCATTGGGTTGCCTCGACAAACTGTCAAGGTACGAACTTGCGTTCAGTTCTACTTTGTATAGAGCTTCATGTATCAAATGCTTCAAGCCCTTCAGTATTGCCACGAAAGGCTTATAATCCATCGCAACTTAAAACCACAAAACGTTATGGTGGATCCTACTGAATTAACCGTCAAGTTAACAGACTTTGAATTGTGCACGACATTTGGTTACCCACATCGTAGGTTGGAGCACGAGGTAACACATACAGTTCTTTTAATGCCATAAGGAATTCGTCTTGCTAATTACTAAATGCAACAGATCGTGTGGTATTACTCACCTGAAATTCTGCTCGGAGACGCTCTCCACAGTTGCTCTGTCGACATGTGGTCTTTGGGCTGCATATTTGCGGAAATGTCTACCGGGGTCCCACTGTTTCCCGGTGACTCAAGGATCGATCAATTATTTCACATATTCCAAACAATGGGAATGCCAGACGAAGAAAGGTGGCCCGGGGTTTCAGTGTTGCGTTACTACAAACCTGAAACGTTTCCGTCCTGGCACAACAATCAAATTTATCTCAGAGAAAGGATTGTCCTTTCACTTGACGCAAGTAGCCTCGACATATTAGCAGTGAGTAGTATAACGAACTCAACAAAGTTAAATAATATTTATAGACGAGAGTAGCATCCCATTAAGCACGTCATAAACATCGTTGTCACGACGATGATAAGTCATTTGTACTCGATTAAGATTGATCTGTTGTGCCTA